AGGGAAGCGCGCGCAGCATAAGGAAAAGCAACAAAGCAAAACAGAGAATGTAAACTCAAACCTGTGGCTACCCGTCAGATACTGCTAAGGTGCCAAAAAAACAGGTGAGTAATAAATAATGAGAAAAGAAAACGTTAAAGATCCACAAATGCAGGGCCAAAGAGGGAGTCTGGAGGAGAAACTTCTAATGGCAGACCCATACAGTGAAGCCAAATCTTATGGAGACAACGAAAAACTAGATACCACGGTGCAAGATTCACTGGGTTGACAATGCGAAGTGGACGAAGGCCTATCAATTGCAACGTCAAGCGGAAGTTGTAAAACAGGAACAGGAACAGGAGGCAACAATAGGTCAAGACGCAAACATTCTGAAACATGAGATCTAGAGAGAGTTGCAGTGCGGCAGTGACAACACTGCTTGCGGGGGTGATAAAACAAACGTCCAAGGCGATACTGCAGAAGCCTCAAGATTGACGAAATAGGGAAGCATGGAGGAGCAATTGCTAGCGCATGAGGGTGTGCAGATGCAAGGGGAGCAAAGCTAGCAGCTATAGAACCATAGGCAGATGAGGCTACTTGGTGAAAGTGATTTGCGATAACATCAGAAGGTTTGGGAACTACAACATTTGCAGCCGGGAAGAGGAAGTGATTGTTGAAAGGGACAGGAGAACAACGAAAGTGCTTTCCCTGGTGAAGAAAGAATGACAACATAGAGTGAACCATATCAGGGGCATCATCATCCAGCCAACGTTGAAACATCTGAAACTGCAGATATTGAAGCCGAAACTGAAGGTCAGGAAACTTAAAAAACAGTAAAACCCCAGCAATTGAAGTGGAAAATGAAAGGCGAAGAAATCGACACAAACATTGGTGAATAAAAGTCCGAACTGGTTTGCAAACAGCAACAGAGGGAAGAATAAAATATAAACCAAATTCAAGCGTAGGTCGAATAAAAGACAAAAACAAATGACGAACCACAACCAGAGAATGAGAACCAAACATCCTTGAAAAAGAAAGCAAAGCAAAAGAAGCTGCGCGCGCTTTGGCAAGTCGATGGGAAATAGTCAGTGAAACATCAAATCCAGTATCTCCAAAAAAGCAACCCAGATAACGAAATGAAGGCTTGACAGGCAGAGGTTGACCATGAAGAAGCAAAGGCGAATGAGCAGGAATAGGAATTTTTGTGAGAATCACAGACTTCAAAGGAGCAAAAGAAAAACCACGAGCTTGGGCAAACTGGTCACAAACAGAGAGAAGAACCTGCATAGCATCCAAAGTAATTGCAAACAAGGCCAAATCATCTGCAAATAAAAAAGAATTATATCGTGGTTTGGCAGGATGAAAGAGTGTTATAGGTGGGGCAAATGGTCGGAGGAGCCCAGGTAGAGGATCAAGAAAAGTGATATAGAGAAGTGGACTGAGAACAGAACCTTGAAACAAACCTCTAAACAAATCAAAAGCATCTGAAAAACAATTTGCAACAACCACTCTGGAAGAACAAAAATCAAACAGAGACTTCAAAACAAAAACAAATGGCAACGGTACTCCCCTAGAAAGAAGCTCAGCCCAAAGAATTGCACGATTTGTGGTGTCATAAGCTGCTTGAATATCTAAAAAACCAGCAACCCAAGGAACCTTGGCATTAGACGCACGGGAGATACATGCCTGAAGACCAAAAACACATTCCATTCCCGAGCGGTGTGACTGAAATCCCGCTTGGGCAGCATCAAGTGGGCGTTGAGACGTGATAGCAGAATAAAGATGTGGCAACAAAGCTCGCTCAAAAATTTTTCGGGCAACACACGAAAGAGTAATGGGGCGATAATTAGTAATATCACCAAGCGTACCACGTTGCTTCCAAACTGGGTGCAAAAGCCCAAGATTCCATGAAGTGGGTGTAAGACTACTGCGAAAAATGGACTGAGAAAGTTGCAAGAACAATGGAGCAAGAATAGCTGAAATTGGGCGATAAAGTTCTGCAGGCAGACGATCATGACCCGGGGCAGACTCCAAAGGGCAGTCCCTAATAGCTAGAACAAAAGCTTCAACATCCAATGGCAGCTGAAAATCACACAGAACAATTGAAGGTGAAACTGGGTCAGCAGCTTGAGCATTGTAGACACTAGCAAAATGATCAGAATATTTGGCTAAAGACTGAGGATCAAAATCTAAACCATTAGCTGAAGTACGAAAGTTAGCGCAGCGCCGAGCATGAGACACATGTTTCAGAAGAGAAGGCACTGATGAAGAACTAGGGTCATCAAAAAAATTTGCTTTTGTCTTACGCCTGTGTGATCTCAGAGCTGATTTGAATGCTTTGTGACTATCACGTTGGCGAGTTCTTAGAAAAGGAAGAAGAGGGTCAGAAGAATTGTGGTGAAAGAGGGAATAATAGTCACGGAATGCTGAACGAGCCTTACTACGCAACAAAGCAATCTCAGGGGGCAAAGGAGTGGTCGCTGGTGCTCTACGACGAGGTGTTGGTGGTCCCAATGTCAGAACTGCTGTTGCCTCAACAAAATCAACTATAATTTGAAATGCAGAATCAATTGCTCCCTGGGCCACTGCACGAGAAAGAGAAGTCCCCACAGGGACCTGAAGTGGTTCCAATGCTGCTGTTAGCGCCTCTGATGTTGGAGGAAGCAGAATCTTAGCAGTTTCTCTGTGCGACTTACGAATAACTTCATCCTTTAACAATGGGAGATTCCAAGAAGGTAGAGGAGGAGGCACAGTGGCCTGAGGATCTGGGCCAGCTAAAGAAAATGAACAGGTCACTGCAAAATGGTCTGAAGGATGGGGAGCCATAGACTGGGGTTGATCATGCACTAAATAAGAGGAAGCTGTCACATAAGTAGAAGCAAAAAACAAATCAATAATTGAACTCCCTAAGTGGGAACGAAAAGTTGGGCGACGAGCTGAAGAAGAAGCTGGGACAACCAATGAAAGTGAGTGGGCTGTAAAAAAAGGAAGAAGTGCTCTGGCACGGGCATTAGTAACATGATCACCAGTGCTCTGAGTTCTAAAATTGAAGTCACCCATCAAAACTACTGGTGTATCAGAATTCGAAACAAATTGAGGAAAATCAGATAATGCACCCAAACAGTCTTCCGCAGTCCAACGTGGGGGAAAATAAAATCCACCAATCACGACCTGACGAAACCTAAACCACAAACCAAACCCAGAAGGAACTGATGCAATCAACCTAAATTGATAAGTACTGCAACGATGTGGGTTAATAAGAAGAGCAACACCAGATGCCAAAGGAGCGTCTGGTGGAGGACGAGAATCAAACAACAAATACTCAGAAGAAACACTGTCTAAAGTTAACTGATGAGTTTCTGTTAAAACTAAAAAATCAAGCTGATGAGTAACAAGCCAAGCAAGTAAATCTGAAAAATCCAGAGGCAAACCTCTACAGTTGAAGGTTCCAGAACGGAAAGTCCACATTAATTGCGAGATGTAGGTTCAGAACGCGAAGAACGGGCTAAAGAAACAGTAGCTTCAAAGTCTGCAGCAGGAAGATTAGAACGAAGATAATGAAAAACTGCAGGATCATGAGTAATTCGCAAGAGGTGAGCAAATCTTTTGTGAACAGCCTTTGCTACAGCAACTTGACGTTGCTCAAGTGATTGAACAGACCCAGAACGAAGCTGCCCAGGGTCAAAAAGATCAACGGGCACCTCATCACCTGGAAAAATGTCCTTGCGGAGCTTGTCAGCACAGTCAGAAGTACAAATAAACTCAGCAGTGTTACGCCCAATAAAACTAATATGGCGAATGTCACGGGAAAATTGAGGGTTTCCAGAAATTCGATTAATCAGAGTGCGGAGCTGATTAAGTGGCTGACGACTAATTTCCTTAAACCTCACAGTAGCAAAACCAGCAGCACGATCACGAACAGGCTGAGGAGGATTGATCAAAATTGGTGACTCAGCCGGGTAATCAATCACCAATCTGGGTGGCCGTAGTGATCTGCGAGATAGGGGGTCCACTCCAGCAACCACTGAGCGATAAAGGGCGGGTTGAGCATCTGCTTCGGCAGCTTCAATACGAACAATAGCATTTGATGCACGAGAGGCAAATTTTGCAGTGCTGAAAGGCCCAGGATTGCGAGTAGCAGGGGCAGGTGGCGGTCGGCTAGCACTCGCAACTTGAGCATAGGAAGGCACGGCAGAGACAGCAGCAGGAGGGCAGCTTGATAGTTTCAACCAACGGAACTACAGCAATAGTCAATGCAGCAAAGAAGGCAGCCTCAGTCTCTGGTTCCAATACTGGGAGAAATTGCATTGCACGAGTGAAAGCAGACATCACTAATGGATGAGATCCAGAAGTTTGAGCAGGGGCCAGCATATGCAGAGCATCCAAGAATCGGTCACTGAGGAGTAGGCAAGGGAGAGGTAGCATGATCAGCTGCAGAGGCATTCTTCTCGACCCTGGCACGAGAGGCAGGTCGGCGAGTCGGGGGTGATTTTGATGCTCGACGTTTCCCTTTGGGATCAGCATCAGCAAGGGTAAGTGACATTTCGACTGTATCATTCATCTGAACATCAACGACACTTGCGGGGGATCTTCCTCTAATTCGAGGCGGTTCTGAAGTGGATGACGCTTGGTCACGTGATCGTGAGTCACGTGATTCGCGAGGAGAATTCACTTCATCTGCCCACAGAAAATTTTCTCCATCAAAGTTGCTGGGCTGAGAGTCAGGAATGTTTTCCTGAGGGGCGCGAGGGTGGGACACAGAGGGAGCACGGGAGCGAGCACGGCCAGAAGCGATGAAAATTTTTGAGGCGGGTGCGGCGGGCGGCGCGGCGGGCGGCGCGGCATGCGGCGCGTCAGGCGGCTGCGCAGGCGGAGCGCTGGGAGGCGGCATTGATTTGAGAGAGAGAGAGAGAGAGAGAGAGAGAGAGAGAGAGAGAGAGAGAGAGAGAGAGAGAGAGAGAGAGAGAGAGAGAGAGAGTGTGTGTGAGAGAGAGAGTGAGAGAGGCTCTTTTTGACTTCCACCGGCTTTAGCTCAGTTGGCAGTAGCGATTGGCTGTAATGTTTAGAGTCACCAATAGGTCCCCAGTTCAAATCTGGGAAGCCGGATTAATAATCGTTCACGTTATTTGATAGAATGTGAGAATAACTAACCCTCTAAATGTGTTTGCAAGTGTAAATACCCTCATTCATAGCTATAAATCTCCAGGGATTTTACGTCCACGAATTTTTAGAACTTTTTTCGTTTAACCTCGTATTCTCTTCTAGTTTTATGAAACTAAGTGTAATCACAGTCATTAGTGTCCATCTGCAAAATTATTTGGGATTCCACCTGCGTTGCTGAAGTTGAATAGTACTGCTCATTGACTTGCTGATCGTAAGTTGGTTGGTCATCGCTGACAGCTGATGCTGTGTTTGCACTTTTTTAAACCTTCCCATATACTTTTCATCATCATAAATTTGATGTCTCCGACAAATGCCTTCAATAGTGGACGTATTCACCGATCAACGATGAAATATTCAACACCGTTTCTTTGATATGTGTCCTCACAAGGAAGTTAAAGGCCAGAAAAAATTTGGAAGCGTATTCCGTTTATAAACCAACCGTGGTTATCTAGCCCAATCACAGCTCTTGCTATCCAAGTTCTAGAGAAGTTCGGAAGGAATCCTAACGGCTGCTGTGCTACAGAAGCCTTAAAGAGCAAACTTCAGCTAATACACGGCGATTTCTGGACACAAGAGGCATTTGTAGGTCGTCGTGTTCGTGACAGCCGGTACTTTGTCAAAATTGGATTTTCTATCCATCTTCCCTTCACTCATTCGGCAGTTCAAGTTCTCTCTGACCGTTCCACAGTTATTGATCGTCTGATTCTGGTTTTCGATCAGGTGGTGAGTCCCATCCATCCAGAGAAACACGCTCCAACGTTGCCCACATATGTGATCTGGTGCACATTTATAGCTGTTGTATTCTACAACTAACAATTGTATTATGTGCAGTCTCGATAATTTTTCTGGTATATCTCGGCGGCCACTTGCCACCCGCTTTTACGGAAAAATGCCGTTTCAAACAGCCCTACCGAATCACTCCACGAGTGCTACCGCCGCTGATCTTCTTGCAAACGCCAAAGAATTCATAAAAGGTTCAATATAATTTCGATGTATCATTTATTCCTAAAACCTTTTCTTATCGCCAGACAAGTTATACTTTACTTGCTTATCACAAGCACCTCCCCAGTCTCCAAATGTGCACTTCTTCACAATTGACGGTGTTCTCAATTATGTCAATTTCTTTTCTGACTTCGGTCCATCAAGTCTCGCCCATGTCCTTCACTTTGCCCAGATATTGACCGAAAAATTTCAGGTAGCAAGGAATCACTTTGCTCCTGAAGCGTAAAGTCAAACGCTAATCCGATATCCCATTGCAGAATCCGTTCTTGACAAGCAAAAAGATTTGCTTGTATTCGAGCGTAGAAAATGACCGTCGCGCAAATGCGGCCTTTCTCATCTGCTCCTACATGGTACCCCTAAATCTGACATCATTCAACTTGATCTGAATTGTCGCTTCATCGTTGTTGATGTAGTTGATCGTCCACAAACAAACCCCTGACGAAGCGTACTTCCCGCTTTTAACCATGCAACCTCCTTTTGTTCCCTACCGCGATGCTGGTTATGGGGCTGCAACATACCACATTACCATCCTGGACTGTCTCCGTGGACTTCACAAAGCCCTTGTTGTGGGATTGATCAACCTGGATGACTTCAACCTGGACGAGTACGAGTTCTACGAGAAGGTGGAGAACGGTGACCTGAACTGGATTGGCGACAAGTTTATCGCACTTGCCTCCCCTCATGACGACCCACCCGGGTTCGTTTCCCCCTATCAAGGAGGTGCTCGACCTACTTATACCATCGGAGCCGGTGCCGCACCTCTTAGCACGATGTTCAACAACTTGATGCAAGGTACTGCAGTCCGATCGCTCCCAAATCCAGCCCAAAAAGCCTCTCCGTACCGAAGCGTCTATCAAATCGATTCACTCGTGCGATACCTTAAAGACAAAGGCGTTGGGACCATCGTTCGCTTGAACAACAAGCTATATGACAGGAAAAAGTTTGTAGATGCCGGAGTAGATCATATCGAGATGTACTTTCCGGATGGAACGACTCCGCCGGACGGCATCTTGAAGCGCTTTTTGGATCTATGCGAAAGCAGACCTGGTGAGCCCACCATTATGTTGGAGAATAACCTAGTTGAGCTCATGGAATGATTGTTTTATAGGTCCCATCGCGGTGCATTGCAAAGCAGGTCTTGGGCGAACGGGATCTCTCATCGCCGCGTTCTTGATGAAGCACTATCGATTTACAACGTCCGAGGTCATTGGATACCTCCGTATTATTCGACCTGGTAGCGTGGTCGGTCCTCAACAAAACTGGCTCCAAATGTCTGTTTTCATGCTTGTTCATTGGCGAATCTGACTTGTTTTTCCAAAGTATGCAAACACGGCTATGGAAAATGACGCCCACGCACAAGCTCCCCACCCACATCTCATGTCTACGTCCTTCTACCTTTGCTCAGTCTTCTCGATTCCCCCCGCTTCCGTTCTCCACTTCCTACAAACCAGCAGTAGCTGGCGCGATCAACGAACGTTCGTTGACTGCTGAAATTGCCGCAATGTCTGCGCTTTCCGTTGGGAAGTTCCAGAAGGAAGAGGATGATGGGGACGGCGAGGATGGGATGGAAGGCGATGATGACGAGGTGTTTGAAGACACGAGAACCGAAGAGGAATCTAGAAACCAGTATGCGTTCTCACCAACGCGCACCACCGTAAGCGTTAGAGCTTTTCAACTTGTTTGTAATTGTACTCAAAATTTCGGGATTCAGTTTGGGAACCCACAGCAGCAACGCGCACAGCAGTCGAGAGCTCTTTCCGATGGGCGGCGTGCTGATGACGCAGATGAGGAAGATAACGGGGACATTGAGGACGAAGAGGAAGGCGACATTCTTTCACGGCATGGTGCACAGTCCGCTATGGACGATGACGACCCGGCCTTTGTGGCACACATGCATCGTGTTCATCACATTCCTCTCCAGCCACGCAAAGGCCCTAAAGGCGGAAACGACGTATCAACTCTTGTTCCGGCGGCCTTGACTTCAAACGCGAACGTTCCAGGAAACTATTGGGTAAGTAGCGAGCGATTGTACTTTCTGATATCGCCTAATTTCATTCCAATCATCAAAGAATCCCGCAAGTGATCTTTTGAACGCTGCGAAACAAACTCAGCTATTGCAACAACAGCAGCAAGTGCAACAGGTCAAGAACGGCAGTCGGTGAGCTTACCTGTCACAGTTTCTATCCTACATGCTTATGCCATCTGAAAGCTCATTATCACAGCAGCCACAGCAAACCACACAAGAGAACAGGAGGCGATAAGTAGTTCACAGAATTGAATTGTTGTGCAGACGATATGGACGTTAAGAGTGGTGTGGCCGTCAAAAGTCTCCTTGTAGTACTTTATTATCGAATTTTTAATTTTTTTGATTCGTATATTCGAAACACCACTTATTCGTGCCTCTTTGGACATGTTATGGCATTTGAGATCGGTTGGCTAAGCTCATCATGGCAAATCAAGGCGGATTAACAATTCCCAGCACAATCGAACCGATTAATCTGCCCTCCCAGGCACGCCCAAGTATATCAATTGGAAAGGAGCAGAGAAGCCAAGCTGTATCGGATGCGCTGAGTGCGACTGACCGTTTGCGGGCGAAAGGAAACTTGCGCCGCCAGATCCAGACGTTGAGCGAATCAATAAGAAGAACGAGGATTTGGTGAAAGAGCTTGAAGAGCGGAGGAAAAAAAGTGGAGATATAGCCTCGATGTCGATATCTTACGTGAAGGAGAGTTGCTCAGTAGACATCGTGAAGAGGTGAGGGTCAGAACTTAAATAAAGATCATAGGCACAAAAGCTCTGATCTGCTATGGTAGAGACAGCGTCGGTTGGAAGCTTTGTTTGCCGAGAATCAATCGCTAATAGACGCTTTGGGGACAGGGACGCAGTGCACACAAACAGCTTACGCATATAAGCTCCACGAGCTGGTGTTGCATAACGTTGAAATTCATCGTCACAATGTTTCTCGCACAAGCCCAGAACCACAGGATCCTTCCACCGAAAACGAAACAAATAATCATGGAAGCAGACCAACTTCAGCTGATCATCATGATGAGTCCAATACATCCGAACCCGAAAACTCCGCTCTCGCGAATGCGGATTTGGAAATACCTAGCATTGTGACCTCAATTTTATCAACAAACCCCGCACCAGTGACCAGTCCTATACATGTTTCGATCGCACCTCCACCTCGCTGACCACTTGTTGCTGCCAGATGTCCCCTTCGCCTTCCAAGTGGGGGAAAGCGATGAACGTGGATCCGACCTTACATACGATTCTTCAACAGTGTTTCAACGAAGCCTACATAACTATTTTCTTTCCTTCGCTCTCCCGACCCAGCAACCCACTTTAAAATTCAAAATTTTTGAAAATTGTTCACCACACCCACGTGCTCATCAACTGCCGTCGCCATTTCTGGTCCTACACGGTCAAGGACTCACGGACGGGGAGGTTAGAGCCGACTGTAACATTCTCGGGAATAGAAACGGTTGCGCATTTCTATTTTGATCACATCGCCTCGCTGTCGCTACGTGGAGTGACTTAATGGCGTCAAACCCCAAAATCAAAGCCCTAATTGCCGAAATCGATGCCGCGCGCTGTCGTGGGCAGTTCTCCACAGCAAGAGAACTCGCAAAAAAGTACCAGCGAAAGTACTTTCCAGACGGTTCTGGTATGAATGATGATCAATGAGCGTGGAATTGGACTGCTGGCGATTCTCTGACCGGGATCTCTACTAGCTCTCGAATATGTCGTGGTAGCCGAAGCCCAATTACATGCTGTTCTCTCTGGGAAGAGCGACAGAGCAGCTTACGACTTGGATGATCCGTCCGATGCCTCTCGGCAATTGGCAAAGTCCGATATCGCAATAAAACGGGAGCAGGTTAGCGACGCCATTTCAATGCTGACTCAGGCATTGTCAAAAGGAGGAGAAAACGCTAGCGGAA